CCCCCCCCCCCCCCCATGTGACCCAATGAGATACCGCCTGAGGCAACTGCCTCATTATAGGGATGGCTCTGGATTTACAAGCGGGTGGTATAAACCACTGCGTGCGTCAGGGGAAATTGATATTTGACCCATCCAGCCAGTTGAATACATGCAGTGGCCAGCGAGGAATGAAGAGACAGCTTAACAACAAACAGCCACTGCATTATACTTATACATATAAAGTGACTCTGTACTGTAACCAGGTTATTGTAACAAGGAGAAGGGGAAGTGTCAAGTTTCTACCGAGTCATTGTATGATTATGTATTTGTAGCCCCCATCACCTTCTGTGAGGTGGCTACTAAACATTTAGTGATTGCCAGGGCTGTAGTCAGCCTGGTTGGAATATAGTTGACATTTATCTGGTTAATTCCAAGTGTCTAGCATTGGTTGTACCTACCTGGGTGGAGTGCGATTCTGCTGTATTGTGGGACAGCCAATGAGAGACACTGAATGTATGTACAGGACAGCAGCCAATCACTGGGTTTCTCTCAATCAGTGGTGAATGCTGGGATAGGGTACATATACTGGAGGGAATTGCCATGTGCTCAGACTAGTTGGGACCAGCCATGGATTAGCACAGGACTGGGTGCTGTCCAGCCACCCTCCAGGCTAGGCCTGAAGCCGGGCAGAGGCTGGAGTGTGGGAAGTGTTTCCCTGAGCCTAAAGTATGGAGGAGGCCTGTGCTGTTGCTAGAGGAGGAGCACCAGGAAAGTGGATGGCTACTGAAGGTGCTCAGAGGACCTCAGAACATGGCTGGTGTCTCTCCTGCTGAGGATCTGTACTCATCTGCTGCTCATCTGTTACTCCAATTACTATTTGCTGTACCACAAAATCGATCTACACTGATATGCTAACAAAGCTCTGGTGAGTCTGGAGCAGTGGCGGACCTAATAACCAAAGGGCCTCCTGCGACTCACCTCCATCCCGCCGCCTGTTACTATGGACGCGGCCGGGAGGGGAGGTGAGTCACAGGACCCGTCCCCTCACTGAGAAGCCTGTCAGCAGTGCGGGGCCCCGGTGTTCGAACACCGGGACCGTGCACTGCCAAAAAAAATCAGGGCTGGACCCCACTGAGGCTGTGGGGGAGCCCAGGGCCGGACCCCACTGGGTTATTCGGGCGGCACTTAGGGGGTGAGCGCTACATGTTTCTGTTCGGTACATACCTGCAAGGTGTCATGAATGCTCCTCAGTGGTCCCACTGAAAGATCGACTTCGCACATGGTTCCTCAGCTGTTGTATCAGCTCAGGGTTTTGCTGCTGAATCTGTTGTGCAAACTGTTGTCCACTGCAAGAAGTGGATAAAACTATTCATCAGTTACTATTCATGTTATGTGGAAATCTGCTTTTTTTTTTTTTTTTTAGATGTTTGAGTGTTATAAACAATCTGAAAATCCTAGCAGATGACATACTTACGCTTGGATAAGGCCTGAGAGGTCTGTTAGCCCTCCAACACCAGCAGCAGGACCCCCTCCAGCATTAGACATCATTCCAGACATCCTGCAAGTGGGTAAGCAGCATGGTAAGTCCTGTACAGTAACAATACAGTCATTTCATGCACTGTATATATAAGACGCAAGTACTGCGGGCCTATGATGTATAAAGTTGGGAGATCAGAAAGCCTAAAGGGAACCCAAATACATACGATCATTTTCACCTGAATTGGGTGATGATCTCATGCCTGTGGGTAGACCCCATTTCCATTTGGCCACCCATTGTCACAGGGAACATTGATCAAGCAGGTTGGATACTCTGCCCCTATCGCTATTGTGCCCCCATCATATAAGTGGTACCAACTGTGTCTGCTCATCTCCTCCCCTCTCTGTCCACAAAACCAGGAACATTATGACAAGTATACATGTCCAGCTGCTCTCTGTGGTCCATTGGCACCATAGATATGTGTTTGCACTTAAACCAGCTAAGAATCATCTTTTTGAATGATTGGTAAATAAACATGCATGCTCCTAATGACTGAATGTGGAAGTTTGTGTACTGAACAGACAGCATGCTCAAGGATTGATAAAGATTGGTTTGCAAAATACAACCTGGCCAATCAGCTCCTTTTACAGGTATTAGTTGGCCAGGCTGTGTCTGCAAAGACTGGTGAGTGACCACAGACAGACACAAGTGTTTCCTGATCCAACCATAATAAGAAAGATCAGACAATGATCATCCTATGTTTCTGGAGTGCTCCTTAACCATAGATGGTGGTCAGACGTGTGGACTTAATTTAGACAACAACCTTTCAGTGGCCACTTTGTTATGGACACCTGATTGGTAACTCATATTCCCCAAGAACAAATCATGAAGCCGCAACTCACTACATAACGAATGATGATGGTGGTGTATTGGTGAGGGATCTACGTTCACTGCTTTAAAGCCACAAAATACTAATTCTTCAATGGCTACTTCAAGGAGGAGTAACTTGAAGGTACCCTTTTATAGGGGAAATGGATACATTTTAGGGATGTACGGATACCAGTATCAGTGCCGATACTGGACCTTTTCACAAGTACTTGTGAAAAAGCCCCGTTAACAAAAACCGATAGCAGCAATTTATTTTTTCAAATTGAAGCGTCAACTGTTTACAGTGCTTGCAATGGCCCGCACATCTCCCCCTCCTGAGAACCTCCACCCGAGACATCAAGCCGGCACCCCTGGGCCGAGCAGCCGCACAGAGTTTGTAACAAATTCATATTCTATTATCCTGCATTGCTGTATAATGTATTGCTAGAATTTGTAGTCCTCTATAGCTGATAGTATTCTACATTGCTGTATAATGTGTTGCTGGGACTCACAGGACCTTAGACCGCTGGAGCAAAGGGGAAGCCAGGCTTCGGTGAGCAGTCTAACAGCCAGTTGGCTGCGAGGATTGGGTGAGTATATCTTTTTTATTTTTGTCCCTAGACAAAAATGAGCACTTAACTATTGCAGTGCGGGGGTAGCCACATTGCATGGGTTAAGAATATTTATGATCTTAACAAAAATGACTCAAAACCATTTTAATTTCCCTAAGAAATAGGTGGCATACAAATCTTAGAGGGCCACTAGATGGTGCTACACTGACAGGTTTGCAGAAGAGTAATAACGGTGGATGATAAATAACCTGGAGAGGTTAGCTACCTGTTTCCCAGTTTGCAGGTTAGCCTGTGGGACATAGCTATGCAACAAATAATCTAAGAACACCTCCATCCAGAGGAATTTCAAATCACTGGGTTTAGAATAGCTTAGCATACAATGCTTAACATCTGATCACACACCTTTAATGCCTCTATCTGCAAGAGGGGTCCAACAAGTTTACATATTAAAAGGAAGTTATCGCTGCGTTATTGTAATTGGGGTCATGACTACATCTGTGCCGCACTGGATATTTGTTCATTTAAATCAGTTTACAGATCTGCTTTCACTTTGGATATTCAGGAGTGTATTTTTAATGGTAAGTGTAATAAAATAAAAAAATGATAGCAACTGAAATTCAATGTCCCAATAATGCATGAAAACATCCAAAGGAGTGGATACTTTGTGGGCATTAGGTACACCCCATGGACTTTTTACAAATATTTAAACACGCAAACATCAGATCTTCATTCAAACAGTACCTAATGATAAAAGTGATACACATGAACAAATGCTACCTAAATCTAAGGTCTCGTTCACACCTAGGCGTATTGCATATGCGCGACTGTCGCGCGACCATCGGTAAAAAAAAGTTGAGCGACAAACGCGCGTTTCCGAAGGCTACTTGGCTGTATCCCAATGGAGGGACGGGCGGAAATACGCCAAGGCGGGAACGAGACCATTGAATACAATGGGATTTATATTTTTGAGCGTTTTGTAGAGCGTTCGTCGAGCGTAGAACGGGCTACAAAACGTTCAGGTGTGAACGAGGCCTAACATGGCATGTTCAATCTAAATGAATGAAAATGCAGATTTACTATGTAGAACGCGCACACTGCCCGCTCAGCATTGCAGTCATCGGAAGCCCGCCCCTCAGGGGGGGCGGGCTTGCGATGATCCCAAGTACGATCTGCCTATCCAAGATGGGCAGATCGTACGGTTTTTTAATTACTTTACAACCATCGCAAGACTAAGGTCTTGCGATGGTTGTAAATGGTTGTTACAAGGTGATAGAAATATATACATTTATTGCCAAGCCAATGTTTCAGTGGGAGAAAAGTGTCTTCAAACTTTAGTGGTGTATAGTTTTTCTTTAAGGCCCCTTTCACACAGGTGGTGCCTGTTCCATTCAGCAGGGGATCAGTGCTCAGATCCCCTGCTGATCAGAGTACGGAAGGGATGTCACTTTTGCGACATCTGTGTCCATTCATTTTTTCCTCCATCTTCCGTAGGAGGTATCAACTGAACTAACCAGACCATGTCAGGTCTATGGGCAGTCTGATGTAAGTGGATATGTTTCTGTCTACATCCAATTACCCCCCAATCCATCACAATCAGGTCAACCAAAACGGAACTGTTTTTTTCTGGATCTAGACAGGGTTGGGGGTAATCATATGTAAACAGAGGCAAGTCAGTTTACATTCAGCTGCCCATAGTTACATTGGACTTCCAATTAGATCCGCCTGAAAAACTGACTGGCAGATCTAAAAGGGCTGCCCGTGTGAAAGGGTCTTACTGTGTGTACTATTTGAGATACATAGAGGGGCATTTATCAAAACTGGAGCAGACAACACGTGGAGCAGTTGCCCAGGGCAACCAAACAGCTTCTCTCTTCAGTTTGCCCAGGTAACATTTGAAAATGAGACAGAGATGCTGTTTGGTTGCAGTGCAAATCTGCTCCAGTTTTGCTAAGTTCCCCCCATACTGTTTTGTATTCCCTCTTGTTAGACTGTAATAAATCAATACTACTTTAAAAATTAACCCTGTCTTCCCAGTGAGGTTACATTATAGAGGTGATCTTGATAACATCCAGTAAAGACAAGCCACAGAATCATCTTGGTTTCATGCCTAAATGTACATAAAATACATAACAAGGTATAGTGCTCACAGCCGTTGCACTTGTGGATCCTGCATCAAGCTGGCTGCCTAGATGGGGAAAGGGAAAAAACATCATATAGGCTTATTAATAGCAATGGACAGGTAAAAACTGCTACAGTCAAACATTGATAAAATAACGTTACAGTTTCTTCAGCTTAACCACTTCCTAGCCCTAGTCAGTGGTGATGTCATTCTTTTTTTTTTCTTTTTTGTTATGTCGCACGTTCACATGCATTGCCTTAAGGCCGTCCATTGAGGGCCCATTTACTTTGTGACAATGCAGTAACATGCGTGTTACGTTACCACAATGCATGGTAAATACGTCGGTGCGATGCCGTGCCATTCATTCTTTTTTATAAATTCTTTATTTTATATTTTAAAAGCTTTGACGGTTTTCTGTACAACTTATTGTAAGTGCTAAAACATATTTGGGATTCATATTAAAACAGAGCTCCTGGCAGATATAAAAATAACACCACTTCTGTATTCGAAATTTGTCTTGGTATCAGCCATACGTAATCTCCTACACTACAGCACTGGAAGAGGGAGGAACAGCACCCAAAGCCAATCAAGCACTTCTGCAGTGAAGGACTGCTGACAGTGAACATACAGACAGAAGTAGAGAGCAAAGTGAGCTGGGATGATGACTCCTTTATTGTCCAATCAGCAGGTAGGGGAGTATAATTGTTCACCTGTGCTCCTGCTGTTGCAGTGAAGGTGAAGGATCTGTCTTGCCAAGCTGGCTGTATAGAATTACAAATCCTTCAGCAGGTAAAACAGTATGTGTTTCATTTATAAAAGTTCTGCCTGGCGTATCATGTGCATGGCACTATTGCCCCTAGATGGGGCTGACCAGTATAGGAAATACACTCCTCAGTGCTATCCGGGGTCCTAATGCCATTCGAATGGCATCTGTGTGGTGTACACCTTTCTAACTAAAGTCCTATGTCTATTTGAGGCAATTATTTAGCTGCTTGCCTTGAGTTCAATTTAATTGTATGGTGGTGGCCCAAACAACATTTTGAACATTTGATCACCTTAAAGACCAAGACCACCCAATTCTTTCTGGCTTCTTATGTGTTGGGGACACCATTGGTGATATAGAGGATCTCCACCAGAATGACACCTAACAGCCATGGCAATTGCACATCCAAATTGGGTAAATGAGTTTGTTTTCAGTTGAATTTAATATACAAAAAGATTAATAAAACATTTCAGAGAAAAACAAATGTAGAGGAACATCTCACCATGCTCACGAAGGCTGGGTTATTCATGAGGCTCGTCATATCAAATCCCCATCCAGCACTTGTCTACAGATAGGGAAATCACAGGTGAATAAAGGATGCACACAAAATAACTGGCTTCTAATACCTATAAGAACTAACACTGTAGATTTCAGATCCACCTTGGCAGATCAGAAATTGTTTTTCTATTAGAGCAAACTGGACCATGATCTTTACGCTTGTTTTTATACATATCCTATAGATCTACTGAGGCCTTAGGGTACTGAGGATGCAGGTTTTTTATTTATTTATTTTTGGTTGAACTTGATGGACATGTGTCTTTTTTAACCTGACTATCTATGTAAAAGGTGCCCATACACCTTACAATTATCTGCAGATTTTCTGTGGTCAGATGGAAAAAGTGCAACAGATTGACCCAGGTGGAGATTACTTCATCCACACAGTTAAGTGTAGATGGAGGAATCTGTTGCACGTTTTCCATCTGACCACAGAAAATCTGCAGATAATTGTAAGGTGTATGGCCATCTTAACTATTATTACCAGTCCTGTAAACAAAGCAACTGAAGAAGACATGCAAGTATGCCTTCAATCTTCTTAAATGACTGCACCTCCTGTCATCCTTACATTTATATATAACCAATACATTTCCCCCACCACATGGTATTAACTAAACTAACCCCTATAGGATGCTGATCACCGGGTCTTACTTAGGACTTACCTTGGTCTAATTTCTTCTTAGGCTAAACCAAATCTGCTACTGTATAATCAAATGAGATGAGAGCATCCAAAAGGTTGTTAAACTAGATCTCATCTGCAGATATCCTGCTTCACAGTGCAATGGGAAGGGCTTGGATTTACCATATAAATGGTACTGTTAAAAGGAGAAATTGCCCTTCCCTCCCCGGATCCCATTGCCCTCCATACCTCCACCCTCCTGACCCTATCTCTTTCTCTCTGCCCCCACCCCCTTTTTAACCCCACTCCCAATTTGCATTGCTGCCAATATCTGTGGACCAGACCCTTTCATTTGTTCCACTTGCCCCCTTGAGGTGGGGGATTGGATATGCAGTGTTGATTCCTCGTGCCTTTACACAAACAGAATGAGATGCACGTTGCACTCTAATGGTTGATTACCGTTATCATCTCATCATCATGTTGTAAAGTAGCCACCGCTCCAAGCTCACGCCCGTGATAGGTCATAACTTTAATACAAATTAACTAACTAAACATGAGATTGCAGTCCAACACGGGAGCAAGCTTGGAGTGGTGGGTACTTTACAACACACACAGGGACTATGGGGAACAAAAGTAGCCCCCCTCCAGAAGGCAGGACAGTGTCAGCACCAATTTAGAGATGATTTGAGGATCCAAAGCTGAGTGATACACAAATAAGATACATTTATGTTAATAGTTAAGGTACTTGAATGTATTTTTAAGATTTAACTCCTGAGTTTAGTGTCACTTTAGGCTCAGGTGTGAATGGGGGCAATCAAAAGTTTTCAAGTGGCCTTAGTACCAAGACTTTTTACCATTTCTCATCAAAATGAATGTTGTACCAATGTATGGTCAGCAATATAAATCTGTACTAAGTTCATCAACAGCTCTTCACATTTTCCTCTATTACCAGATACAGATCTCTCATCATACAAAGTTATATGAAAAAAAGGCATCACTGGCACCTCTTCAGTTGTGCAAGTCCCTCTCAGCTGGCTCCCAATTTACAAGCAGAGATGTTCAAGGATCATACACACCTAAATGGGTGCCATGAGTGGCTTCTTTACATAGATTACCAACATTTTATTGCAGCCTCATTTTCGTCCTCCTCTACTCAACACATTGGGGTTGATTTACTTTGTAAAGTACTTTTTTTTTTACTTTGTTTAGTCAATAAGATAAAGCTATGCTGACTTCAATCAACCAATCATGTGCAAGCAATAATCCTGTTGTTTTTTTTATTCTCCTTGCACAAATTCACTTTGTAGAATAAACATGCTCTACTATATTAGTAAATCAACCCCATTACCTTCTAGTACATGTTTCTAGACACTTTCTCAAAGGCATGTGCTGTGATGAGTTACTCCTACTAAAGACAATGAAGGGTAATATCAGTAGCAAAATCAGTTTTCTTTATGGTATGAGTACACTAATCCTTTAAAAGTCACAATGCACTTACAGGACTGGGGACTTGTCTGACTTTCTGTTCTGCTATCTTCAGGTAGGTCTTATAGGATTCATTTTCAGGGTCTAGGTCCAAGGCCTTCTGGTAGCTGCCGATTGCTTCTTTGTATCTATTTAAGGCTGCCAGGGCTCGTCTGTACACAAATGCCAACCATAAGATATTACTTAATATGTTTCAGAAAGGCTTATTTCACATTTTATATCCCCATCATTTTACCTTGACTGTATTATTAAAATATATCCAGAGCCAAAACATTTTATAGCTTTGGACAGAGCACAGAAGTATTCAAATTTCAGTCAGATCTTTTTTGCTTCCTGTGTCCTCGCTGGGGAGAATGACCTTCTCTTCCTGTCTTGGAGACCATTGTCACCAGTACACAAAGTGATGGGAAAGTCAACATGGATTGTCACCAGAACAGAAGTAGAGGGAAAATCTTCAAATGGGGATATCAGTTTTGGTGACAAGCAGGGGCTCCCCTTTCTCTTTGAAGAGACTTCCATTCACTTGCTGTTCTGTCTCTGGGATAGAAAGTATAGTGAAATATCCTCTATGGTGGTCACCAGAACAGAAGTACAAGGAAAATCTTCCAATAGGGATATCTGTTTTGGTGACCATTGTCACCAGCACATAAAGTGATGGGAAATCCAAAATGTTATGATTGTAACAAGAACAGAAGTAGAGGGAAACATCTTCAAAGAGGGACATCTGTTTTGCTGACAATTGTCAAATAGCGGATTCCCTTTCTCTTCGAAGAGACTTACACTCACTTGCTGTTCTGGGCATATCTGTTTCCATGACCATTGTCACTAGTACACAAAGTGATGGGAAATCCAAAATGTGATGGTTGTAAGTGTAACCAGAACAGAAGTAGAGCGAAAGTTTTCCAATGGGGATATCTGTTTTGGTGACAATTGTGAAATGGGGATCCCCCATCACTATAAAGAGACTTCCTCTCATTTCCTGGTTTGTCTCTAGGATAGGAAGTAAAGCTATGGGACACAGAGTGGAAAAAAAACTTTACTCTGATTTTTACCGTTCCGCATTTTATCCTCAAAGAAATGGCTTATTATATACTTTAAATAAACCCCCATGTGGAATGAATCAATTCTAATAATCTAATTTAGTTACATTTCATACCTTGCACATGACATGAGAGAAGAAAAGGTGAGTGTGCCCTGCAGGAGAGGGGGCATTAAAGTAGACCTGTTGCTTTGCTTAGCATGGACAAAGCAGAGGTTTGCATCAAAGACCTTTACCCACATTTCTGGACGTGGAAGCTGGTGTCCTACTCTCTTTCATTGCCACATACGTTGTATATGTGCCTTATGTGGATGTTATGTAGTGTTCTTAATGCAGCTAAAGTGGTATCGGTATATGTGGAATCCTATATACTGGATGTTAGAATGTTGGCAGAATGTGCAGGAACAGGTACAAGCTTTTGGCATAGCAATATTCTACATTAAGTTGGAGATGCTGGCTGAAAAACAACAGAACAAAACAATGTGAACAATTTATACAATGTAATGAATGTACAAGCAATGTCAATTCACACCTTGGAGTTGAAAAACAGATAGTAGGTGATCTCTTACCCCATTCTCCCATAGGCTTTGCTGTATTTTTCATCAATTGATATGGCTTTTTCACAGTCTGTTATTGCATCCTCATGGTGACCTAACTGAGTATGTGCGGCGGCCCTGGAAAATATATGCAGAAAAAAAAAATTAACAAATGGAACCAAAAATTACATAGCATCCCTAAATATATTCTGAACGCTATTTTGTAGACTGTCCTTACTGTATGTAATATAGCTCATCAGCGGTGTCATTAATGGCTTATAAATAATTGTTTCTTAATTGGGAAGGTAGTTGATTTTAGAATCAACGTTTAACAAGATATAATATTAATTACACCTTGGGAACTATTTCCTGTTATTTACAGCCTTGGGACTGGCTCCATACAACACAAACTCATCTAGCATGCAATGCTGCTCTGGAACTATAAAATTGATCCAATAAGAAAAATAAGTTTCTGTATCCTAGCAGCTGTCAAAGTTTTTGGTGACCCGAAAAGGACTTTCAGTGTTGCTGCATGTTGTGCTTTACTCAAGCAGCTTCACACCAGCATCCAAAAGGAAACACAAAGGAATTGAAGAAGTCTTTCTAAAATGAATGCTCAAATACAGGAACTGACACATTTATTGTCCATCAACAATTGGATCAGTACAGTACAAAAATCCATTTTAAGTCACATGGTTTACAACCAGAAGACTCCTAATAAGTTCTGAAGAGAAGTAGAAAGCATTTACTAAGGAAGTGGTACCTGTTGCAGTAATATACTGCATTGTTTGGATCCAACTCAACCGCCTGTGAGTAACACTCGACAGCAGCTTCATAGTTCTGCTCCTTCATGTAATTGTTACCTAAATCAAAAAGTAGATTCAGTTAGAAAAAACAAAGAGAAATTAAACTTTATACAACTGTGTTTTCTCTCAATCACTGTTTTTATAAGTGCAGTGGTACCTCGGTTCACGAACTTAATTCGTTCCACGATTCTGGTCGCGAACCGAATCAAACTTTGTTCAGACCGCGATCTCGACTAGAGGAATAAGTATATGTATAAAGTCACTCGCACTCCAATAGAATTTCAAGTCAAAAACGGTTTATTGACTCAATTGCTGTCACATCACATCGCTATATGATGTGATAGCAATCGAGTCAATAAACCGTTTTTGACTCGAAATTCTATTGGAGTGCGAGTGACTTTATACATATACTTATCTTAGATTGCAGAGGCATCTGCAGTCACTTTGGCACCCATCCGACTCTAAGGGTATTATTCGGTCAGGAGTGCGATGGGTACACTGGATTTTGGACTCGACTAGGGGAAGCCATGACCAGTGTCAGAGCAGGGAAGATGGCTGCGGTTGTGTTCGCCACCTGATGTGGTGTTCGTGAACGGAAACAAAATTTTACCGAACTTCCTGTTCGCGAACAATTTGGTTCACGAACGATGCGATCGTGAACCGGTGTACCACTGTATAACATAAAAAAATTGATGCGATATAGGTAAAAGCCTAAAATATAATCAATAAATTGTCTACTAATCCGCTGCCCAAGGACAGACAAACATTATGGGGTATATCTATAAAAGCACATGGCTGGGCGAATGTCGTTTGCACAGCATTTGTACCTCTAGATGGAGCCAAGAAGCACAGAGAATTCCTATGCTCCACAGCTCCACCTAGTGGCAGGAATTCTACGTGAATAGCATTTGCCCAGTGTATTGCTGGGTGGAACATTGACACAATACTAAAGTGCCATTGTAGACTCCTAAGTTGGGTATACAAGGTTCTATTTTTTCATTCAACCTGCCTGAATAAAAAAAATAGAACAGTTTCCTCCATCAACGCTTATGGAGCATTGCCGAACAAATTCCCAGATTCTTGAATTGCATTCTGACAGCGGCCACTGTCAGAATACTCAAACAGTTAGCAGCTGATTGGCTGCTAGCTCAGTTTCAATGAGAATTTTCCATCCAGTTCCTTCAAATGATTGATCAACAGCGGCACCCATGGTAAGCATTTTGGCCCAACTTTAGAGTCCTAAAAACTACCTTTTGTCTTGCTTTCCTTCTGAAAAATAGCAGTGCACTTCCTGGTATGTGAAGGCGCCTGTGCACATTTGTGCCCACAGGCTCACATATCTGCAGTGTGAGATCTCAGGCACTGCTTCCTCTGACTGCTAGTCTCAGGAGATTTGGAGTTAGATTTAGTGATGTCACTACTGTGGTGCTCGCTGTTGTCCTTGCTGGAGGCTCTGACATAAGGAAGCAAAGCCCTGCTTCACACATTGACACAGTGCAGAAAAAGAAATGGTAAGTCAGTAGTGGGGAAAATATCAGCTGCAGAGAACCTGCTGGCAAAACCAACTACAGCTTTGCCCAATGCTTGCCACTTTTTGAGCACAGTGCATGACATAAGCAGCCTACCTTCATCTTTTAGCTGTTCAGCCTTTTCTATGTCAGCCGGGGAGACTGAAGGGGATTCTGCTGGCGTCAGTTCATCATTCTGCAGAAAACAACAAATGTCATTTGTGGCCCTCAGAAAGCATAAAAAGACCAGAAGCTTTTTATGTCAGACAACAAAAGAAAAGAGAACGACAGAAGATCAGGTGAAATCAAGGATGAACAAGGCCAGCATTCTTTTTTCATTCTTGTTTTAAAGCCCAGCTTCAGCCAAACATTTTTTTGGGTGGAACCTTTTCTGTTTGTGACCACCATTGGGAAGATTTCCCCGAATTGTTTAACCTTGTGAGACCACAAATGAGGGAACAAGGGATACTGGGACAAGATACAAATGAATAGTACACTAAAAGATAAAAAAAATAACAAAAAAGTTTTTCCTGTAATACTCACCTTTAAAGAAAGAGCTGGACCCACATTAATTTTTTTATGTCACTAGAAGTCCTCAGTCTGATGGCCAGCATCATTCAACCCACTTCCTCTAAACCTAGGCTCTAATGGATCATGAGACTGCATGGAGGAGAAACAATTTGTGTGTTTCTTTGCCTGGAGTTCAGCTTCAGCTGACTACCTCCCCACCATTTGCTCCTCAAGGGGTTTTACCAGCAACTAGAAGACAGTAGGTGAATGTAAAAATGGAGAAACTTCAGCTAAAACAATATCAATTATGAGTCAACTCAAGTATGAATTACTCCACATTGCCTGCAGCTACAGAGATCAGCGAGTGCTTGTTTTAAATCTTACAGGGCAAAGCAACTGGTTTCCCCCTACTGGTAGCACAAACTCACCATTTTCTTGAATCCCCCAACCACTCCATTCACCTGCAAGAAGCAGGAGAAATTACTCAGTGTAAGCTACAAGTCCTCAAGTCATAGAATACACATAACCATGTACCCTCATAGTGTGACAGCTCTGGTGCTTGGTAATTGGCCCAGCACGGTCATGTGGAGTAAGTCACATGGACTAAGATTTTCCTCATATTTCGAAGTATCAGCAGAGGACCAAAGGACACGTTAGCTTGTGCTGCTGGGGAGGTGAGCATTGAAGCAAACCCCTGCACTGCATGGGCAAAACCAACATTTGTCATCTAATGACAAATTATCAAGCTGTATTGCATACAAATATATTGCTAGAAACTGTACGCACAAGTGGTGCTTTTGGGAGACAGAATAGAGCTAAACAATAGTTTATGGCAGCTTCAAAAAGACTTCAGTTGCCATCCAATCACTGTCATGAGAAAGATATAATTGTGTTCTTTGGACCAACCATGTGAGTGAATGGAGGAAAACAGAATAAATGATGGACAGGCATTAGCCATGAGAGGACTTCACTCAAACAGACGAATAAAGTATACACTTCGAGAGAGACTGCAACCAGAAGCCATTTTTCTGAGAATGCTTGATAGCTATGAAGTCCTGTTCAATACAGAATTTGTAGACCAACAACCACCGAAGCTAAGTGATTTTTTTTTGTTTAGTGTATCCTCCTATAGAAACCTTTGCATGTGCTAAAATAGGGTAGATAGTGTATACATGTGTATGTATGTAGCAGCCTGTTTGTTTTTGTATTGTTTTTACCTGTCGCATAGTAGTTTGTGCACGTAGCCTTTTGTATAGTAAAAGTATGTTAAATACTACTTCTGGGTCCGTTTCCTTGGCTTTACTACAAGAATCAGACAAACAAATAGCTGTACAAGTCTGCCTAGCGAAACACATGCCATGCTAGTAAATACCCCTGCTCATACTTTGTGTATCTTGGAATTCAATAATGGCTTGCACACACTCAGTAATTCCAATCCTGCAAGATGTCAGACAAGTTAATAATGATTCAGGATTTTTTAGCCATAAAAATAATATATTAAATGTTTCCTTGTACACGGGGTCCAGAGAGAAAAAACGTCATAGCAGATCTAAAAATTGTACCTACTAAATATTATCCTTCAGAATGACTTTGCTTCTAGGAACTAAGAAGACAACCTCTTATCCTTTCAAATAAAAAACAAGCCTTGACAACTTAAGATTTCCCTGGAGGTCGCTGACAAGAAAACCCGGGGCTTTGTGGATGTGATCAAGATTAATTAGGTAATCAAACGTTAAAATGAGAAGTTTGACTAACTGTGAAATGTTCCCAACCTATTCCTGTTGGAATAAGGCTGTATTAATTAGACTCCCACAGCTGCCCATATTTGTAATTGGTATATACTGTATATAAAGAGCTATATTTACCTTTTCATGCACATTGACACAAAAGAAAAGTCACAAGGACCAAAGTTTTAAAAGGATTGACCATATGAACTGTCTCAAACAATTGGGTCCTTTCAATAAAATCTTAAACACCAGTCCTATCACTTTTTTCCCTCCTAAAGCAGAAGGTTTTCTATTCTACAAAATACACACATGCATAACAAGATGAATTATATCTTCAGATGAGACAATATTGAAACTGCACCTAACAAGACTAACCTCTAAGTAAATATTTAATAGATTTCATAGGACACAGTTATTATTTCAAGCCAATGTACAGCTTTTGCAAAAAGAAAAAAATGCAATAAAAAGAAAAAAAAAATACATAACGTCTCCCTTTAAAACTACCTACAAACATTGGTGTCTTGGAGATGGGGGCCAGAGGGGGGGGGGGGGGCATCTTGCTGCTCTATTCCCTCCTGGTAGACTCTGAGAGTACATTACCCTATGTGTTAGCTTGGGAACGGGACTTGGAAACGGTTATTCCACTGGATGTCTGGCATCAATGTTGTTCCCGTGTGTCATCTGGTTTACTCAATATTTCACTAATAGAAGCCAATTATAAGGTGTTATCTAGGTGGTATATGGTTCCTGCCAGACTAGCGAGAATATTCCCAGAGGTCTCTCCTCATTGCTTCCGGGGATGTGCTCACCCCGGCACAATGTATCACATATGGTGGGAATGTCCTAAGTTGAGACCTTTTTGGAACCGGCTTTTTTGCCCTAATATTTAGCCACTTACAAAGCCATCCACAACTCTGCCCCCGGATATATCTCAGACCTGGTCTCAAAGTATCACCCTAACCGTCCCCTCCGCTCATCCATTGACCTCCTGCTTTCCAGCTCCCTTGTCCACTCCTCCCATACTCGCCTCCAGGACTTCTCTAGAGTCTCTCCCATCCTCTGGAACTCTTTACCCCAATCTGTCCGTCTATCTCCCACCTTGACTGTGTTTAGGCGTTCCCTAAAGACTCATCTCTTCAAGGAAGCCTATCCCACCTCGACCTAAACACTGAACCATCACGTTCTCAAACAATTCACCCCCACACAGCTACCTCCTCATGTATCACTTACCCCTCCTCTTTTAGATTGTAAGCCCTCAGGGGCAGGGCCCTCCTTACCATCTTGTCTTGAATTGTAATGTCTTCCTTATATTGTAAAGCGCTGCACAAACTGTTGGCGCTATATAAATACTATGTAATAATAATAATTTAGGGTCACTGGGGTGAGGATTCCACGAGATCCCCTATATGTGTTGCTAAATTGCCCAATTCCGGGACTGTCTAAAGCTCTGGATAAATTAAAGGGTTATTAAGCCCTCCGGTGTTTTTGCATATATCTACGCAAAAGGTATATGCAAAAAGTGTAACAACAACAAAAAACCCGTTTTAAAAGCGGTTTAAATTTACCTGCGTCTTCCCCGCGCACTCCCGTCCGAAAATTTGAAAATTCTCGGGCGGCCGCAAAGCATCTTGGGGCGGGCACATGCGCAGTTCACATTTTTGGGCCGGGAGACGAGGAGAGACACAAGGTAAGTCTATGGACGCGTGCACCCGCATGCAGACATCGTGGGACAGGAAGTGCCTGCAAGGACAGAGGAGTCAGCGCTGGGTCGGAGAGAGCCGCAGCAGCGCTGGAGGGACAAATGAAAAGGACAGGAAAGAAGAGGAAGATCGGATTAAGAGACATCATTTAAGGCAAGTGCTAACATTAACATTAGGGGGAGGGAAAAACATATTTGACTTTAATGTCACTTGAATTACTTTCTTTCTGTTGGCATCTAAAATAACCATAGCTAGGGCTTGGAAATTTTTGACAATTCCATTCCACTTGGTTAAAACAAAAAATGTTGTGGATTATGGTCCATGAGAAACTTCACAGCATCCTCCAAGATACTGAAAAATGCTTTTAATTGACCTGGACCCCCTGGATGTTATATACAGGGGTGCTGGAAACTCGGTAACATCCATTTTCTGTTACCTTTTTTGGGTTCTGTTTTTAATGTTTCAATAGATGTTCGATTATCTGGTCGGGGACGGATCTACTCTTCTCAGACTCTTTATCTGTTCTGCTTTTCTTAGTATCTTTTTCCTTTTCGTCTTTCTCTTTTCTGCTCTGTCTTTCTTTAGGCTCACGCACATGAGCTGTCCAGCACATTGATGTGGGACGGAAAGTCTTCTACGTACATTGATATGCAGGAGGTCATACCAAATGTTTTTTTTCAGACACATATGGACCCCTATGCCTGCTATTCCTCTCAAACTGTTTTGGTTTTGTTCTTTTAGATGGGGGATAATTTGGCGAGAGTAGGCGGATAGGCATGTTCTGTTTCACAGAATTACTATGCATTGTATATATGGTTTCTAGTGACCTCCTCTTACTACCTGACCATGCTAATGTGGAAGACTCTGAGACAAGTTTGTATGCCATATTGTTTCTACATCATGTGCTATTCTACTGCTTTGTTGTATTTTAAAAAAATTAATAAAATACTTTGAAAGATAAAAGAAAAAAATATTCAATATTATTTAATATGATTATATGTTATTATAAAATAATAATAAAAATTATGATGTAATTTGTATTAATTATATATTATTACTTTTATTGGTGTTGTTTTTTACATTTGAGCTTGCACAGCATGGCAACCAGGATCAATTGGTTGAGGATGCAATGCTCTGGCTCCTGCAGGCTCTTCCTCCCTGCCCCGGTCTGTCGGTATGGACTTTAAGCTAAGGGACAGGAGGAAGCATGAATAGTCTATATGTGTAGTTACGTGACCAGACGTACTGCATTGAGAACT